GTTCTATGTGATGCTCAGAAATATGCACATTCTTTAGTAATTCCATTTTTAAAATGCCATAAGTCTTTTGGTTCCAATTTCTCCAGTAATTTGTTAAATTCTATATTTTTCCTTTTGTTTACTCTTGTGAGATTTGCCCAAATCTGAGAGACACTGAAATCTCATAATTATGTTACTATGTCTTTTTTTGTAATTTAATTTCCCCTTTATGAATTTAGATGCATGCTATAGTGTTTGAACACTATGATAGTGACATAGATTTGTTGTCTATGGCTCCTTTGAGTATAATATAGTCTTGTTTTTCTCTGTAGAGTGAATTTTTGCTTTAAAATTGTCTGACAGCATGACTGCAACTCCTGCTTTTTCAAATTTACCTAACGTAGGAGTGGGGAACCCATGGCCTTGAGGCGATTTTGTTCCAGTCTCTCATTTGTTATTCTATGTACTTCTTTACTTTTAAGGGGTGATCCTGGTAAGCAATACAGTGTGGGGTTTTGTTTTCTTAACCAATCTGTTACTCCCAATTACACTGTTTCATCCATTCACAGTTAAAGGTTTTAATCCATTCACAATTAAAGGCATTTAATGGCACAGTGGATAAAGCGCTAGACCTGGAATCAGCTCAAATAGAACCTCAGACACATAATAATTCTGTGACTCTGGGCAAATCACTTAATCGTTGTCTGCCTCAGTTTCCTCATCTGTAAAATTGGGATAATAATGGTATCTACTTTCTGGGGTTGTTGTAAAATCAAATGAGATGCTTGTAAAGCATTTGCAGAGCTCTGAAATACTACATAAATGCAGAAACCAAACAGTTTGGTTTCTGTTTTCTTTCATTTATTTCTAGTTTAGCCTTTTTTCTGAATTAGGATTTATTTTTGGTTCCTCTCCTGCTTTTAGGACAGTACTTGTTCCCTACAATTGTTTTACATAACCTTTCTCAAGACAACCCTTTTCAGGCGCAGTGGATAGAGCACTGGCCCTGAATTCAGGAGGACCTGAGTTCAAATCTGGCCTCAGACACATAACACTTACTAGCTGTGTGACCCTGGGCAAGTCACTTAACCCCACTGCCTAACCAAAAGGAAAAAAAAAAAGACAACCCTTTTCCCACAAGCAGTCTTCTCTTCCCTTCCCTCTCAGCTCCTCCCAGGAGTTTATCAGCCCTTTCCCTGGTTTTGGTGGTTGTGCCATTTGCTTCTCTAGCTTATTTTACAGATGAGGAAACTAAGGTAACGAAGGTAAAGTGACTTGCCCAGGGTCACAGAATCATTATGAGTCTGAGGCTATACTGATTCCAGGCCTAGAGCTCTATTCACTGCACCACCTAGCTGCTCCTTTTACTTAACTTATTAATTCCTTTTTCCCTCTTATTTAGTCATATAATTCTTCACCTCTCTTTCCCCTTAACTTTTTTTAGTTAGTAAAGTTTTTAATTAAAATCTTCCATTTATCCTTTTCAACTTCTTTTGTTGATAGTTTTTTTCATTTTCTAAGCCTTTTCTACAAAGGATTTCTTTAATTTGTTCTCTTTATTTTCTTCCCTTTCTGTCTATTCTAAACTTTTATTCTTTAATTCATGAGCATTAAAATTATTTATATCTTCTTTATTCTCTCTGTATTTCTCGTGGAATTAAAGTGTTCAAATAGTTAATTTAGAACTCACTCTTGAAGACTTATATGAATTGATGCAAAGTGAAGTGAGCAGAACTCTGAAAATGTTGTACACCATAAAAGCAATATTGAAATGATGAATGTGAAAGTCTTCAGTATTCTGATCAAGACAATGATCCAGGACAATTACAAAGGATCCATGATGAAAAATGCTATACGCCTCTCGAGAGAAAATTGATGAACTCTAAATGCCGATTGAAGCATACTTTCTTTTTCTTGTGGGGTTTTTTTTTTGGTGTGTTTATGTATGTTTTCTTTTGCAACATGGGTAATGAATGCCAAATTGTTTTGCATGACTTCACACGTATAATCGATATCACATTGCTTGCCTTCTCAAAGGGTGGGGAAGGGGTGGGAGGGAAGGAGAGAATTTTGAGCTTAAAATATTTAAAAATGAATGTTAAAAAAATTTCACAAGTAATTGGGAAATATTTAATGAATTTTTCTTTACAACATGACTAATGTGAAAATACGTTTCACAGGAATGTATATGTAGAACCTATATCAGATTGCATGCAGTCTTGGGAAGGGAGGAGGGGAAGGAGAAGGAAAAAATTTAAAAATATATTCTTCAGTGACCATCACCAAGTAAAGTTTATTGACTGTATTTCTCCTTATTTAAATTTCGCCTTTGACACCTCACAGATTATCCTGTAGCCCCTCTGTTTGCTGAGAGATTACAGGTGTTATTTTCCTTTTAATCTTACACTGAATTGATTCACATACATCCCACAATCATCTCTATTTTCTAACTTCTCTCCTCCACTGATAACACTCTCACATTTTGGAGTGTGGTTCACAAAACATACTAATTCACTTGTAGGGGCTGGAAGAGGAGAAGATCTGAAGTTTAGGTGAATCAGGTCTGCTCCTCCTCCCCATGTCTTCCATTTCTTTAAGTTACATTTTCATCTTTATCTTTTTATGTACTCAAAGAAGGAAATCTCCTAACTGAAGCTGTTGTTACTATTTTTAATCCTTTTGTTGTTGTTTTTTTCTTTCTCCTTCTAGTTTTCCCCTGATCAGTTTCTAGAGAAGGGGCAATTTCTTTCGCTATGTGTACTTTCTTTGGTAGTTGTATTTATTAACCTTTCTGGAGTTTATGTTGTTTGAGGTACAGGCATACCTCATTTTATTGTACTTTGCAGATACTGTGGTTTTTACAGATTTAAGGTTTGTGGTAACCCTATTTTAAGGTCTATGGGCACCATTTTTCCAACAGCACGTGCTCACGTTGTATCTTTGTGTCATATTTTGATAATTCTTGCAATATTTCCAATTTTTTCATAATTATTATTATTTCATTATCATTGTTTCACTGATCTGTGATCAGCGACCTTTAACCCATTATTGTAATTGTTTTGGGGCACCATGAATCGCACCTATATGAGACACTGAACTTAAACAATAAATGTTGTGTGTGTTCAGACTGCTCCACCAAACAGCCATTCCTTGTCTCTTCCCTCTCCTCGGGTCTCCCTATTCCCTGAGACACAACAATATAGAAATCAAGCCAGTTAATAACCTTATGATAGCCTCTCAGTGCTCAAATGAAAGGAAAAGTCAATCCATGTGGCAAACTTCATCACTGTCTTATTTTAAGAAACTGCCACATACCGCCACCCCAAATTGCAGCAACCACCACCATCATCATCAGTCAGCAGCCATAGACACGGAAGCAAGACCCTTCACCAGCAAAAAGATTACAACTCACTGAAGGCTCAGGCGATGGTTTTTTGCAATAAAGTATTTTTTAATTAATGTATATACAGGTTTTTAGACATAATACTATTGCATACTTTAAAAACTACAGTACAGCGTAAACACGACTTTTATACCCACTAGGAAACCAAAAAATTCATGTGACCCACTTTATTGCAATATCTGCTTTACTGCAGTGGTCTGGAATCGAACCTGTAATATCCTCATATATGTCTTTATTTCTAAATTGTATAATCTGCTCATGTCTTGATTTCGTGTGTGGAAATGCTTCAAACGCCTCTCTTTTTTTTACTGAATGTGCTTTATTTTAATGGATAAATAGGCTTAGGTTTACAGATGCATCTTGAGCTCCTTTGCTTTTCAAAATACATTACTCCATTCCCTTCTATGGTTTCTTGTGGGTAAAGAATAATCTTGTGTGTCTTCAAATTTCCTTCTCTTTATATTTAAAGGTCTTTGTCTTGGTCCCTTGTCCCTTGCCCCGCCCCTCAGAAACAATCTGTGGGTTCTTAAACTGGGGCACCATTTCCCTATACTCAGAATTTCTGGTTTTCTTTTATTATTTCTTGCATTGTGGTGCTCAGGTTTTTTGATTTACCATGTTTTTCAGGCAGGCCAATAATCTCTAAGTTGTTTGTACACATGCTGTCCTCAAGGTCAATGTACTTTACTTGTATAGAGATGATGTGGTTGTTTTCAAACATTACTGCTTTTAATTTATCTTTTTCCACATTGTTCTTCACTTACGTTTACTTTTATTCTCAATTCATTTGTTCTCCCTTTGGTTCTTTGGAAAAACTCACCAACGTGGATTCAAGTTGTTCTATTCTGCTATACTCCCAGGCTCACAACCCAGCTATCAGCATAGACTCCTCATTCTCTCTTACCACTCCCTTGCCCCCCCTATCCAATCTGTTGCCAATCCTGTTGATTCTACCACTTGTATCAGACCCCTTCTCTTCTCTGACATTGACACAACTCCAGCAGGCCTTCATCACCTCTACCTTAAATAGCCTGCAGATTGGTCTCCATGTCACAGTCTCTCCCCACTCCAGTACATCCTCCGCTTCACTATCAAGCTGATCTCTCTAAACACAAGTCTGACCATGTCACACACACCCTTACTCAATAAACTCTAGTGGCTATTTTCTAGGGTATACATACTTTAAAAAATGTATAACTATTTCAGTATCTTCTTTTGTAATCCAATGTACTATTTTATGCATTTATGACCTGTATTGTGAGAAGGGACCCACGGGTTTCTTTAGACCATTAAAGTGACGATGGAAAAAAGGTGAAGAATCTGTGCTTTAAGGGAGGCTAAGAATTCAGGAAGAGGAGGGACAGAGCAGTTTGGTCATAATCCTGCAAGAAGGTGGGTCTGTCAATGGATACTAAAGCAGGAGGAACATAAAGCAAGCATGATTAAATGAGTCATTTCTTCACATTTTAAAGGTATTTCTCCCCCACCCATACAATTCTAATCAGACATGGCTAACACAATGATTCTTAAAATGTTGTATAACAGTAGTCTCTAATGAGATCAAAGTGAATCCTATCAATTTAATTATAAAAAGGGTTTTTAATCAGCTACCATTTACCTTTCTGGACTAAGGGGCTCCTCATTTCTCATCCATCTGATGACAGGTGTAGGAACTCCTGAGGCAACACAGGGCAAGACTGCACTTTGCCCAATAACTCTGATTAGTGGTGAAGGCTGGCTCAAAAATACCAAGTTGGATGAAATCTCAGGATCTAAAAAAGTTTCCAAAATAACAGACAATGATTAACAACTAACAATTTAAGCCACTTCACTAATACTAATTACTGGATTCAGTTCATGTCTTTAAATTATGGGCATTATCACATTAGGCAGCAAGGCAGTGTATATGAAAATCAACTTCAACAAACTAATTCAAAAATATTGTCTACTACATGAAAAACACTGTGAGTCACTGAGACATAAAGATGTTTAACATACAGCCCTGTTCTTCAAGGAGTGGACAATCTAATGGGAAAGACGTTCATAAAACTAAAATACAACTTCGGAAGTGTTCTAGTGGTAATAAACAAAGTGTCAAAGGAAGTAAGAGACAGGATAACTTGGAGCTAAGGTAACTAGTAAGGCCTTCAGGAAGGAGAAAACATTTGAACTGAGCCTTGAAAGACAGATGGAATTCTGAGGGGAAGGTGGGGGGAATATGATTATCAGGACTTATGATTTTGTTGATAGAGGAACTCTCACCAACACTGCATATTGTCTTGGAGAACTAACTGCTGGATGCTCTAAGAGGCTACAGCAGTCATATAGTGTAGTAGTGTAGCTTCAGAGGCAGGACATCAACCAGGATCTTACTATGCCTCTGGGCTTAGGGGCAAGAAGTTAGAAATAAGAATTCAGGCAGAAGCAAAAACAGCAGCACCAAAGGTATAGCACATACAAACACGTACAGAATGTGTTCAGAAAATGGCCAACAAAAAGAAAAGAAGGAAGGAAGGAAGGAATGGATTAATAAATGGATTGATACTAATACAAAGGTTTGCAAAGCACTTTAAAAATATTACCTCATATTACCCTCAGAACAATCATGCGAGGTGGCTGCTATTATCTCCATTTTGCAGACCAGGAAACTGAGGCAGATAGAGATTAAATGACTTACCTACGGTCACACAATTAGTAAGTATCTAAGGCTGGATCTGAACTCAGATCTTTCAGACCCTATATCCAGCAATCTAGTCACTGTACCACCTAGCTGACTCTTACAAACTATTTAGATGAGCAAAAAGGCCAATGTGACTGGAGTATAGGGATCTTATAAAGAAGTGATGAGAATAAGGCTGGATAGGTAAGTTTGGGGTCAGATTTTAACTGACAAGAAGAACAGTAGCAAGCTACTGCAACAACATAAGGATGAAGCAGTAAAAGACCAAAACAAGGTGAGTGCTTCTCTAATTGGAATTAAGGATATAAATGTATTTACTTATGCAAATTTTGAAGCCATGAAGGACATGGAAATATATGTAATACTTTTTTTTTAGTATTTTCTATAAACCTAAAGTCACCTGATTAATTTAGTAATATAAAAGTATACTTGAAATATAGGTTTAACCTGGTTTCCTATATACTTATCACATTTGATATATTAGAGATAATAAGGCCCCAAGAAAAAAATTGAAAAAAATTTTTTTAACTTCCTACCTTACACACACACACACACACACACACACACACACACACACACACACACACACACACACACATACACACACACATCCTATCTCCCCGAATTTTTGGAAGAAGAAACCAAAAAGGTTCTTAGGAAAACAATTATCCCTCACCACCACTAATTTTGAGCACCAAAAATAGAAAATCTAAATTTAAAATGTAATTGTTTGTTAATGATAGAGGAATCAAAAAGTTAAACTCCTGATAGTTTTAGGGCCAAAAATGACACTTCGATTAAATTGCTTAAAACAAAACAGAACTTTTAGTCAGAAACCAAATGTAAGTTCTAATTTATGGTATAAATTTCATATAGATTAGAACCTGGGACTTAATTTTAAATGTGTAAAACAGTACTGAAAGGTTTTATCACTAAGCATTTATACTTGCAGCAAAGCAATAAATAACATCAAATAAATTTCACCCTAAATACTTGTGGAATAAGAAAAATATATTCAGTGGCTAAGAAAGGTCCCATAAAAACACTATTACCACTAAAAGAAGTCAAAATATTCTGGAATAATTAACTGTCATCATTTATAAAATCCCCCAATACTTCTTTTCAGTGGGACTAAAGTAATATTCCTAACAAGTATAATGCAAATGGTCATTTGTGATTTTTGTTTCATTAACAAACTATTTGGTTATCTTGGATGATCTCCACGTTTCCCTCCTTGCTATGATTTGCAACTTCTAAATAAAAAATACAATCTGTATATTGAGATTTCAATATTATTAACCTTTTTGCAATTTAAGAAATGTCTTTTCAAGGAAACAAAAGGGGTGAATCGTTTTCAATTTCATATTAGATGCTTTCTCATTACTAACGGCCTGCGTTTGGATCTTTTTTTGGTTGAAAAGTTAGCTGTTCAGAAACAATGCAAGTACATCGCCTCCCAAACCACCATGTTTCTTCTCACCTACTTTGGCAGAAAGAAAATGTAGAAGATGGACCAAGACATCAGAGCGCATCTTTGCACTCTGCAGGGACGCTGACATGTTATAGAGCCTTCTAAAGAGAGGATGAAAGAAGAGCAAGGAGAGCAGATGGAAAAGCTCTATCTTCACAGTCAAACATTTAGGACAGAGCCATCAGAGAACACAGGAAAAGATCTTCCTGGCTTGGTAACTGATTCCCAAACAGGACAGTTTTGTCATGGGGTCTGGCCCTTCTGCACATGGGCAGGTTCCAGAAATAAGCACAGGTAAGATTTTTCATTCAGAGACAAGTTTTTAAACTCAGACACAAAATATGTCACAATCAAGGAAAAGAATGCAGGGAAATTTTTAAATGCTTAATAAGCCCATATTAGATTAAATAAGTGAAAAAGTTTTCACCTTTGAAAAAATCTTCATAAATGATCTATTACACTTGGGCCACAGTACCTTTCAGCAGTCAGTGCTTCTGCCCTGTGGGCCCAGCACTAGGCAAGCTTAGGGGATGATCTGTGCGTGAACAGTGATTCTGGTCAGTTCAGACGGCCTTTGTTCATTTAAATTAAATGCCACCTGTGATCATTTCTGATGCTGATTATGAGCTTACAAGCATCCTTCTAGGCAACAATGTAAGTGGGGGGGGGGTGGAAGGATTATTGGAAGGAAGGAGAGGCGGAGGGAGATCAAGGGAAAGTTATTTCAAAAGTATTACAGTAACTGCTGGCAGAAGGTCAGAAGAACTTTACTAAATTCACATATCCAAGCAAAGCACTGTAGTCACATTCACCAATTGTCAAGAGAACTAAACTGTATTACTGGTATGTTCTATGTGTCACCCAGCAAACTGAGGGAGCTCAATCATTAACACCCGTATTGTAAACAAAATAAGGATGTTTTTAACTGGAAAAGTTTTTAATTATACTTTTTTTAAAAATCATGAGATCACTCATGCATTTTTATTTTCATTCATCTGTTCTCATTCATTCAATAAACACTTATTTAATACGCTCACTATATCAGTTACTGCAGCCAGTGCCGAGGACACAAAAATCTTTTATAAATCTATGAAAACAGGGAGGTGGGAAATCTACAAATGAGGATCCTCCACAGAGATAATCTTTTCTCCAGGTCCCTGGATCCTGAAATGCAGACTCCCTGAGTGGGAACATTGTTGTGGGGATGCATCAGATGAGAAGCGAGCATTAAAGTAACCCGAGCATAAAGGATAACGCTCACTGAACTTCACCATTCATTACTGTTAGACTTACTCAAAGATGCATTGCACAGGCACGTCTTTCAAAAGTGCTGTCAATCAAGACTTACTGCAATGATGACAAAATGGGTTTTTCCATGGATGGGCCAAACACCAACTTCTATTGAACACACTGACCACTCTATTTAAAAATGACAAAAAGCAGAAATGTATATAACAATTTTATACCTGGAAGAACTTTCAGCTCAGCCTCCTCACTGTACTTAGGCGGTCCACCACTTTCAATTATGCAGCGATAAAGCCCTCCATCTTCTTCAGTAACATTGCTGATAACCAGAGCTCCGTTTGGGAGTTTGATGACTCTATCATCCAAAACAAGTGGCTGTCGATCCTGCTCCCACTTCACAAACGGGACCAAATCAGCATTGACTTCACAGTTGAGTACTGCACTGTTTCCAGCATAGACTGATGAAGATTCTGGCTGATTGGCAAACCTCGGAAGACCTAAAAGAGATGGGAAGGGAAAGATGAAAATCAAGCATTCATTGCTCAGAATGTAAGGACTCTCATTCCTTGAGTGCTTATACCCTAGAAACGATTTACTAAAATATATGGAAAAAGTTAAAATTCATATGAAATATAAAACAGCAAATAAGTTAGATGGCAGGGTCCACTGAGAGAGCTGGCCTCAGGAGCTGAAGAACCATGTTTAAGCCCTAACTCTGTCACCTGTTGGTCAGGAGACTCCCTACACAATCATTTAACCTTCTCAGTAGCTCAGGAGACTCTCTAAGTCTTGTCAGGTGACAATCTGTAATGGCACAGGGAGTTTTTTCCACATATTTATTTGTAGCCAGAGCTTACTTTTTCACCAGCCTCAGCCTCCTTTTCTTTGATGCTAAGAGAGACTACTATTGCTATCCCTGGCCGACTTTGGTCCAATCCTGGACTAGAAACTACAGAACTCAAGACATTAAAAAGAGCATAAAAAATATGGGAGGACAAAATGAAGAACATGAGAAGTAAACAGCTGGGTAAGAAGAGAGTACTAGGTGGCTATCCAATCCCTCCCTAGGCCTTCTCTTCACCAAGTTAATCACTTCTAATTAACCTGAAGCATGGGTAATCTACTCAACAGGGATTTAAAATTAAAATGAATCTACAAAAGGAAAACTTCTCAAAAAGAGCCATGAAATCAGATACTACAAACAAAAGCCTAGGAAGTGGATCAATCAACAATCACACTCATGGCCTCAGAGTGTTAACAGACAAATGTGCCAAGTATGGGGTAATAAACAAAATGACCTAAACATCTCAATGGAAAAAGCATTTAAACACAAGCTCAGAGGTATAACTGAGAAGTATACAAAAAGACCTGATGAGTGCAATTATCGTAATTCTGCAAAATCAAGGCTGTAACGGCCTACGAAAAGCTACCAAATGGAGGCAATGCCTGTAAAATGCAAGTAAGTACAGTGGAGAGCATTCACATGAGAACCCTATGGTCCCCTACCCACAGGTAGAAGTACCTTCGAAATCAAGTCCAACCACTGCACTTTACTGAGGAAGGAGCCCAGCCAGGCACAGAGGTGATACAGTGGCTTGTCTGTGGTCATGCTGCTGCTAAGCATCCCAGGAAGGATTTGAACTGAGATCTTCCTCCCTCCAAGGACCCTGTCCTACCCATTATACCACCTAGCTGGACTTAACAACAGAGGTAGAATCAGAAGAAACACCACGGCGGAAGAATATTACAGCCTTCCTACCCACAGGCAGGAAAGTAAGAGATCCATGAGGAGAACAAAGCTGGCAAGAAGAAAAAAAGCTACAGTGCTCGAGGGGTTGGGAGAGAGGGCTTTGACATCTGCTTTACATCAGCTGTGGCCAAAACGAATTCTTCACTTGGTGGCCAAACCTTCTGATGATGAGCCTCTTGCAACTTAGAAAAGCTGGTGCTATGCTATTTGCTATTTTTTTTCCTTCTGTTGAGTTTTATATCCTCTTTCTGGTGGTTCCTCCTATTGGTTCTAATTCTTACTTAACAACATCGCTAATGTGAAAATATGTTTAATAGGAACGTATATGTATAGCCTAGATCTGATTGTATGCTGTCTTGGGGAGGGTGATGGGGAGGGAGGGGGAGAAAAATTTTAAACTTAAAAGCATATGGAAGTGATTGTTGATAAATCAAAATAAATTAATTTTTAAAAAAAGAAAAGCTGGTACTAAAATGACAAACACAGTCCTTGGTGAGGTCACACTCAAAAGGTTCAAGCGTGGCTGGTGCTCCATTGGCAAGCATAGAGAGTCACCTTTATTTCATTCTGAGGCACTGCACAAGGACTTTGGCAGCAACAAATAATTTGCACTTGGACAGGAAAACAACAAAAAGAATGTATATAATAACTGACATTTTAGAATGCTTTAAGGTCTATAAGTCTACAAATATTTTAGTGCTTACTCTGTGCCAGCCACTGGCACACAAAGTGGTGGGGGTAGAAATATAAGCAAAGGGGCAGCTAGGAGGCACAGTGGACAGAGCACCGGCCCTGAAGTTAGGAGGACCTGAGTTCAAATTCGGCCTCAGACCAAACACTTGACACTTACTAGCTGTGTGACCCTGGGCAAGTCACTTAACCCCAACTGCCTAAGCAAAAGGGGGGGAGAGAGAGAAAAAAAAAAAATATATATATATATATACATATATATATAAAGCAAAAAGAAATACAGTCCCCATCTCCAAGGAGCTTACATTCTAACGGGGAGAGGGTGAGACAACATGTAAAAGGGAGCTCAACAAGCTCAAAAGATGGTAGAGGAGGGAGAATCCAGAGACCAGAACAGAGCTGGGAGAGGGGTGAAGGAGGGAACGTGGCTGGCAGGCGCACCTTCTCAAAAACGGAGATTCTAGGAAGAACTCATCAATTAGAGGAGAGGGCCAAGGTGCAAAGTGTGAGATGGCTGCTAGAATATGGTGAATTCAATAAACATTTACTAGTCATCTACTAGGTGCCGGGCACTATGCTGTGTTAGAGATATAAATGGGGGGGGGGGCAGTTCCTGCACTCAAGGAGCTCCCAATCAAGTGGGAGGACGGAAGGAGGAACAGCGCCCCCCCCCAGGAAGGAGGGGGAAGATGCTCCTTCAAGTGGGAACGAAGCAGAGCGGCGGATGGAAAACAGAGCCGCCTGCTGAGTGCAGAGAAAGAAGTCTGAAAGGCAGGAAAGAGCTGCTTCGCCGTCCAGCCTCAACCCAGGGCATGAAGTCTGGAGAACTGAAAGCAGAGTCAGATGGGGAGCGAAGAGCACTGCAGAGGCATCATGTGGCGTTACAAGTGATATCTGCATCAGCGTAGTCGGGAATTGCCATCTAGTAGAATGAATGGAACGTACATAAGCTGCTTTGTAGAGCATGAAGCTGTATAAATACCAAATACCGTACGGACCAGAAAACTCATACCGGACAAAAATCTCATAAATTAAAATGAACAGACGAGTTCAAATCTGGTCTCAGACACTTACTAGCTGTGTGACCCTGGGCAAGTCACTTAACCCCCCATTGCCTCACCAAAAAGCAAAAAAAAAAAAAAAAGAATGGAGGCACAATGATGCCTTGTTAGTAGAGCTGTAATTAGTCCAAACATTCCAGGAGGCAATTTAGAATGTGACAAATAAATAGCTAAAATGTCCACACCGACACTGAGATTCTATTCCTGGAGATGCACTCCAGATAAGTCACAGACCAAAATAAGAACAGCAGCATTTTGTGAACTGGAAACAAGGTCTGTTCGTCAATTGGGAATGGTTAAATGCATAGTGGCACGTGAACGTAATCCAATATTACTGTCCGCTAGAAACAACGCAAGTGGCAAATACAGAGAAGCAGGAGCAAATGCAAACTTCAGCAGACACTAGAGCCAAGAAAACAATCCATACAACGACAATAAAGGAAACTGAAAAAATAACCACAAAACAACTACAAACGAACATTGCAAAAGTACACAGACTAAGCTTGGGTCCGAAGCAAAGAGATGGGAAAACACCCAGTGCATTCCTTTGCAGAGGTGGCATCTACAAATACGAAACGAGAGTTTCTTCAATGTATTGATAGGCTTTACTGAATTGTTATCTCATCTTCCTCTTTTCCTCTTTTAAACGAATTCTTTGTAACAAGAGATAGTGAGGAAGAAGGAACACAGGTGAAAATCCAAGCAATGCAACCTAGGCATACCTATATAAAAAAGAACGAGGGAAAAGCCCTTCAGATACTCAGTTCTCATCAGACACAGATTTAACAGTAGAGAGTAATTCTGAGAATTTAATAATATGGGGGGGGAAGCTTCAGTCAGAATCATCATTAAATAAATATCTGAATGTCAAGGTGTCAAAGTGTCACTTGGGAGGCTGAGAGATAAAAAAGGCTTTTCCCTTTATTTCCCTATTCCTGAAATATCCATTAACATTCATCAGATGCTAGCAGATTTGCTTAAGTCCCAATGGGAAGCACACAGGTGTGAGATCCGAAATAACAGCTGCTAAGCACTATGCTTTCTAAAAGACAGACAAAAAAAGAAACACTATTTTAAGTTTTTTCTATTTCCTGATAATCTTTACATGATCAAGGCTCTGCACAATCTCTTCCCTCCTCTGGACACTCTTCAGATGATCAATGTCCTTCTTAAAGAGACTGCCCAGAACTAAACACAATACCCCAGGTGAGGTCTGATGTGGGCAGAGAATAGCGCAACTATCCTCTCCTCATTCCTGAAAGATCTGCCTCTCAATACAACCCCAGACTGCACTAGCTTTTCTGGTGCTACATCAAACTGCTGTTTCACATTAGGCTTGCTGTCCATTAAATCCCTCCCCTCCCAGACCCTTTTCAGAACAGTTGTCTATCTACGACTCCTCTGTCTTATATTTATGAAGTTGGTATTTTCTGTATCCAATTACAAGACTTTACACTTATCTCAACTGAAATTAATTTTTATCAGTTTTAACCCAGTGCTTTGGCCTTTCAGACCCTTATACTCAGGGTAGTTATTCCTTTCCACTTTGTGTCATCTGCAAATCTGATGAACATATCATCTATATATCTAAATCCATTAATAAAAATGTTAAACAGCACAGGACCAGCCACAAATCCCTGGGGCATTCCACTGAATCTCCTGACATGTTAACTTTGAATCATTAAAAACTACTCTGAATCCAACTATCCAACTAGGTCTGAATCATATTATTGTCTAATCCATATTTCTTCATAATTGCAACAAAAATAGCAGAGATACTTTATCAAAAGCATTGCTAAAATCTAGGTAAAATATGCCCACAGTATTTCCTCATCTAACGGTTGAGATTAATGAGAATAAGCAGAAAAGCCAATAAAGGTACAAACATCAATACAGACCAGCATTGTGTTCCAAAGAAGCTTGACTGATCTAAACTGAACACCATGCAGAGAACAACCACAACAAAACTAGAATGGATAAATGAATCAACACTGAA